AGTGAGCCCACTCCAGTATGATGTACTACACTAAGCAACAGGATTATGGTTTTGGGTCCTGTTCTTTCCTTGTGCAACAAATCTGGAGCTAAAGCATCCGTTGCCAATGGCTATGTGACCTGGATTTTGAGGCTGCAATCATATGCAGTAACATAGAAGTAAATCCCACTGAACACCATGAGACTGACTTCCAATGGAATTTTCATTGAAGGACAATAAAATCAGTTATCTTTATTTGCATGGGTTGCATCCAGGACTGTATGTCCTTCAGCAGAATAGCCCACTCTGTACTATTTAGTTCCTCCCCTGTACTATTGATGTCTGATTTGGAGGGTTGTTGGAGGGCTTTTGAGGAATATAGGTGGCCGGGGAGGGGAGGGAAGAGGAAATCCTTCAGATATAACTCAGACACAATGGCTTCCTGGGAATTAAATTAGGGAGGTTGAAGAGGGAACACCTAAGCATGGGGTTACATATACAATGTCACACGATCCTGGGAATAGCTATGAACTGATTCATCTTCAAATAACCTGGAGAGCGATCATGTGGAAAATCAGGATGGATTTGATTTAAATCAGGTCAATTTAAATCATTATTTAAGTTACTAGTCAATAAGGCTCAAATTAAATCATGATTTTAAAATGTAAAGGCTCATTCTTGTTGGTAGTTATAATCTTTAATATTTGCAATCAGATGAAGATTTGCTATTTAGAATAATAACCTGTTTGATTAGTAAAACAACTACTGTATATCAGAACTGATGTTAGTGTAGTAGCTTAATCACTCATATTTGGAGAACTACTGAAATTGTTTTATTTACCTGAAACAATAACATGTAGTATCTATATTCTTGTATTCTCTTAAACGTCAATGTTTATTAACTGAAGTGGTTAAACAAAATATCTTCTTAAAAAGCAAACTATATTCCAAACAATATTCAGACCTACCATTTAAAGTACCATAGGAATCCCCCATCCACAGAATCAGAATCTGCTGATTAATTTATCTGCTGCCTGAGAATACTAAATACACCCCAAAATACATATTTACAATATATGTATCTCCTGGGTGTATTTACCAGAACTGGCCACTGGAGGGATCCAGAGACCGTGCAGTGTATAGCATTCACTACATCTGCGTTGTTTGGCACCCACAGGGAGGCTTGGAATTTATCCCTGACAGATACTTGGTCCTATTGTAATGTGTTCATTGTTTGCACATAGATTTGCAGAACCCCAATGGGATTAAGGTCTTTTCCTGAACTTTGTTTATTTTATAATACTTTTACTGTGAAAAGGTGCATGTTATCTTGGCTTCGATAACTTGGATTAATTGAATTAGTTTACCTAGGAGACTAGAGGGCATTTGGAGATGGGCACCGACGGTGAATAATCTAAATGCCGCTAAAATTGCATCAAATATCTACTTAGCCAAGGTGAAGGCTGTAAGAAAGTCCTACTTCACTCACCAGATAAGCGAAGCCCAGGACTACTGTTCCATATTGTACGTGATTTATCCAGCACTGGCCCCAGTGACAGGCCTCCCGGTAGCATCTCCTGTGACCAGTTTGAGGCCTTTTTTAAACATACAGTGGAAGCCATCCACCGGGAACCTAGATATCTCCTCTATCAATAGATTGTGCCGAGACGTCCTGCGCATCACCTTGTCTGGTAATTTTAACACAATTTCAGCCTGTGACATCAGCTGAGGTTGACAGGGTTCTTGATCGCTGCAGGGCCACCACCTCCTCACTAGATCCTTGCCCAGCCTGGCTCGTGAAAGCGGATGGAGTAGATGGAGGCTGTTATTAATGGGTCTCTCCTTGAGGACAGGGGTCCCCTTGCCCTCAAGGGGCCACTCATTAAGCCAATCTGGAAAAAAACAACTTGGTGGCTGATGATATTATTGTCCAGTCGCCAACATTCCCTTTATTTGCAAATTGGTGGAGAGAGCTTCAGGCTCTCCTGGAGGAGACCGATGCCCTTGATCTGTTCCAGACTGGGTTCGGGCTATGTCATGGCATGGAGATGACATTGGTCACCCTGCAAGATGACCTCCTGAGGGGGGCCAACAGGAGCAAAATGTCCTTGTTGGTTCTTATTGATCTCTCAGCAGCCTTTGATACTGTCACCACGGTTTCCTCCTGGGGATGCTCTCGGGATTGGGGATCGGTGGTCAGGCCTTGTCCTGGCTCCGCTCCTTCTTGGAGGACTGTCCCCAGAGAGTTCAGCTTTGGGAGATGTTGTCTACCCCATGGACTCTCAATTGTGGAGTCCCACAGGGGTCAGTCATCTCCCCAATGCTATTTAATATCTATATGAGGCTGCTGGGGGAAGTAATCAGGAGTTTTGGAGCTCTCCAGGAGTTTTTGAGCTCTCTGTCACCAATATGTAGATGGCACTCAGCTCGCTCTCTCCTGCCACCCTTCTGCAGTAGATTTTGTCCGGTCCCCTGAGCGCTGCCTCGATGCAGTGCTGCGATGGAGGGAAAACAGACTGGGGCTGAATCTGGACAATACGGAAATCCTGCGGGTGGGGGCCCCTGGTGTCTGTGGTCTGGGTGCCTCCCTGTCTTTCGGGGGGGGGGGTGTCATTCTTTTCACAAATGATG